ACCCAATGAACGAGTGAGTGAGACAGATGCAGTTCTCTCCCACCACCTGTCACTGGACCAGTGGCAAATTCGATGATATACGATCACATCACGCTTTTTATAAGTCTGAAATTTGATAATCTACTTATCCGAGTTAATAGTCGTATTCGGCAGTATTCCTTTTCTTTCAAAGTATTTTGGGTCTACCCACATTTTCAAATAACCATATGTTAGCCAATATAATATAACACTCTAATTATGAAGTGGTGTAATTTGAAAAGTAATATTTTTGAGAAGCTGACGTAATAATTAAAAAACTATACAAAATACTTTTTAGTCATATTTTTGCCACATACGTTAATCAATTTTATAAGTTCCCAAAAATGAGATTTTCCAATTACGCCACTTTATTGTTAAGGATGCGATATAATTGTTTTAAGCGTGTATGACTTATTGCCTATGATTGATGGTATTGGTTATTTTGCCAGCGATAATTAGAGATCTTTTTGAACCTGAAGGTAGACACAAAACAACAATCCACACCAAACTATCACAATAGCTTTTATTATTAACATTAACGTCATAGAAACAAAACTTTCGTTCCTTGGCCTATTCATTCAGATTGCTGTTGTCAAAATGATAAACTCGCATTGGAGTGTTTGTCTCGTGCTGGCGACGGAACCGGACATGTCGGAAGTGTGATTTTTATGATAAATAAACATTTGAAATGAGAAACCGAAATCAAATATTTGTAAATTAATGTATAATCAAATTAATAACTATGTTATCATAGTGCAATTTTGGTGCACGCACATTGATAACGATCAGAGATCCCTATTCTGCCATACTGCACTTCTTGTCATAACTAACGCATTGCGTTTCGGTAACTTTCGAGATATTGGCATCTAGTTTTGTTGTCATTTAAAAATATCAATTACGCTGTTTAAAAATAGAACTGAAACTAGATTAAGTATTATAAAACCGATTAGGAGTTGTAGATCTAGTTTCACTAATCCCAGATGTATTAGTAACTCGGTTTAACTAAAATGTCGATTACGTTATTAGTTATTATAAGGATGGCAGCATAGTTATCACCATTTTTTTTTTTACCAAATAAGACATTAAAAACCTTTCGGCGGATTAGGGCCACAATGAGAAATTACCACAATTAAAAAGGATCACTTCTCAAATTAACCATTTATTGAATTGACCCCTTCTTGAAATGACCATTTAATATTTTAATTATAAATTGGTTTTTTACCATTTTTAGTCCCTTTCGCACATTTAAGACCCTCCATTTACCTAAACTAAAAATGAAAATGTAATTTTTGAAATGTTTTATTTGCCGGTTATTGTCAAATGGTTGCGATGGACGGAGGGACGTCATCCTCCAGGGCGACAATAAGCAATATCTAATGTATATACTTAAAGGTCCATCGTCAAACTTGTGGTAAGGTTCCTAATCCGAACCCGAAACATATTGAATTGTAAAACTGATCAATGCAAGAAGTAACCATTTCTAGAAGTGTTCTTTTGTAGAAGTAGCATTTAAAGAAATGGTAATTTCAAAAAGTGGTTCTTTGAAGATGTTGTCATTTCTCATTGTGGTCCTAAACCGCCGAAAGGAAAATGTCGATTACGTTAGTTATGATAAGGATGGCAGCATAATTATCACCATTTTTTTTATTCCTGTCATAGTCACAAGTTTTTCTTTTCGAAGACGAAATGCCAATTCCAAAATGTCAATTCCGTATCCAGCTCAAAGAAAACGCCCTCATCACGTTCCCAGTGACATAACTTACCTATACAGAAAACAGATCTCAATTAAGACTAATGTATCATAACGATAATTATTTACAATAAGAAAATAAACCTTATTGCACAATGATAGTGCTGACTGTCGCCTGAATTTTTCACTAGCTATTTGGAGTTGTTTTGCTAAGCAATAAGTCATTAATGGACGTCATATGTGATCTTGTGACTGAAAAAAGTTATTTACACAGTACGCTTGAAAATTTCATTTACTTTTATTAATGTTGAAAGAGATAATATTTCATAAAATCTATCACTTTTTATGTTGCATTATTTTGTCCTTAAAGAATAACATTAAAATCAATACTGGCAGGTTTCAAAACGTCGAAACATCGTTAAAGACAGATATAATTAAAATGTGCTAAAGATATTCAATGCGTGAACATTTGTATGTAAATTGTATAAGAACGGTGGATATACAACCGACAGACGTGTCAAACAAAGTTACAAACATGGATCGAAATTCAGTGAACGAATACACGAGTGGATAGTAACCTTCCTCTGGAATTCCTGAATTATATTTTTTGTGTTTCTAGAAATACTACTGCAGAGTATTTAGAACAAAAGTTTTGTAACTAAGTAAAAAAAATATAATTTCGTTTTTTTTTTCTTTGGAATTTTAGAGAGGTATTATCCCCTATATGTAATGTATATTACTTAAGTTTAGATAAGTCCATTACGAAATAATGAATTTTATACTATTAAAAGTTACATCTTATTTGCGCGAACAACGACTTTATTACTTGTGAAAAAAACTCCAAATCCTAGTAAATTATAATAAACCATCATCAATATCATTCTCGCTGATCCTATAACAAAAAACTCATTCGAAAACATCATTCGTGAGATGAACATTCAGGCTTTGTGAGCGTAATACGCTAATCGAAAATTTCCAAACGTAATATCTCACTTGTTAAACGTAAGAACTAGAAGGTTCAACTTGGGACATATCATTCCACTCCAGACTAACTGCCATATAAATACTTACAGGAAAAAAGGACGTAAAAGACAAATTTTATCAAATATGACTTAGTCATGTGAATGGGTAAAATGTTTTAAGGTCTTTCGATCCATATTGTATAAAAGTAAAGTAAACAATGTTTTAAAAATAAAAATATTTTGATCAAAAACTTTTGTTTTTGTTTTTCATTCGTCTTGAAAACCTTGTAGTTTGACTGTTACGCCTTTTTTCGCCGCAGTAACTAGGCGTTAATTTTTTTTTTTTAAATGAATAGAAAGTACAGGAACATTCTGTTTGAATGTTTACCGTTTTTTTTATGAAAATCTGTTACAATGAGTTTGACCCGGCTTATAATTCAAGATGTCAAGTGGCTAAAAAACACTTAATACCAGTGGGGGCCAGTTAGTCAGAAACAGGACAATATCTGGCGGAAAAAAGCCGTTGAATTGCGAACATCTTTGATTCAAACCACAACAGGCAATATTGTGGTTTGAATCAAAGATGTGTCCTTGTCATAAACAACTGGTAACTTTCGTGATATCGGCACTTGAATGACGCTGATTTTCCTTAGCAATAAAATTGAAACTAAATAACATATTAAAACACCGATTATAAATGTCGATTACGTTGTTTATGATAAAGATGACAGGATACAATTACAAGTTAAAGCGCTTGAAACGTGTGTAACCAGTAACAAACGAGCGTAATTTCCGCATAGTTTGTCCCTTAAACCTTCGAGATATCGCGAAACCATAGCCGTAATAATTTCTTGGTTAAAAGTTACTTGTCAGTTGTTAGAACTCCAATGCTCCATATTTTATAATTCTTTCATCACACTTGCACGTAAATAGTGTGATTGCATGCAGGCTAACTAGACTATAATGCCCCAAATAAAACCCTTGAACCTTGCTGTAATGAGAAGAAAAAGGCCCGAAGGTTCCAAGTGTGATGAAAAACATTGTATGTTTCACGGACGGTAGGGGAATTACGAACCTCGACACCGAAAGCCCTGTCTTCGTCTTCTAATAGTCTCGTTTGTAATTCCTTATTTACCGCCTTAATACTTAATACACAATGTACTACGTTATATTACACGTTAAACTGATTCGTACGGTGGTGGGTGCGTTTTCAAATAGCATCAATATATTGAATGATCTAAGAGTTTGGAAACTTTTGTTTTACTTAATGAACGAATGCTGTGGGAATTCTTGAAGAAATACTAATGTAACAGAAATGTAATACGATCTCCGTTAATTAAAGATGGCAAACAACTATTATTAATATTATACATGTATAATAAGCAGAGTTATTATTATTATACGTGTATAATAAGCAGAGATCAGAATAATGACAGAATATATTTACCTAAAATTTAAGGGAGCAACGCATATGCAGTGTATAAATAACTCCCTATTGAAATCTCGAAATTATTGTACTTTTTGTGTGTAATCTTTCTTTACATTTTTTTTAATTGTAAGTAAAAATATAACTAATTTATTATTTTTATTGATACAAAGATAGAACAAAGAAAACTTCCTTCGATCCGATTAGACTCGAATTCTAAGAGACAGATCGAAGCAATTTCCTCTCTTTATTCCATCTTTATGTAAATAAAATTTAAATTTATACAAAAAAAAATAGATCAATATAATGTCTGTATAAACTTCATGGTATTCAATATAAATAACTAGTTCGGATTTTTAATCATTCCGAGAATTCAGAAAGATAGAAAATCTATGTTTATTACTTGAAATTTAGATAAATATATTCTTCATATTCCACGCACAGCTTTAAAAAGGTTGTGTCGTATTCCTTTCTCTCAAATATTTCTTTTTACGTAAAAAATATCCCACAACACTCCCTCGTGACAGCTTAACTGACGGCATCTAATGAGATCTTTCGAAACTATACAAAGTATACTGTCCGTCTTCTTAGCCAAATAAGCTTGGGGTCCCTTCTCTGGAAAACGTAAAAATCAAGCAAAATATTACAGCATACAGGTCTACCTCGACGCACACATCGCACCTCATGCAAGAATGGCATAAGTGGAGTTACGTCAAAAACATTTATTGCTCCATTAGATACAGAGAAATATAACAACATCCTCTCCAATTCTTGTAACTCTATCAATTAATATTGTATATAGCTCTATCTACAAGAATCGGAGAGGATGTGAGTTATATTTTTCTGTATCTAATGGAGCAATAAACATGTTTGACGTAACTCCAATTATGCCATTCTTCCATGAGGGGTGCGGCATCTTGGTCCGATTAAGGATGTCCTTAAAAAAGGCCAGGTTAAAAGCACCAAGACTAAACAGACGTGTGGAAACCGGGTGATTTACACTCGTTCTCCATCCGAAATAATTACTGTCAAATAAGTAATACTCGAACAAATTAGAAAACAATGTCAAGTATAAAGCTTCATTCGCATCATGCATATTTTAATTTGGTCGAGTATCATTTATTTTCGGACGGATTGTCGGGCGGAGTACGACTAATGCGAGTGGAGGAGACGAAAGAGGTTTATCAGACGCGTAGTGGATGTTCCCGGTGAGAGACAAGCGTGATGGCATGTTTAATTCGGATTCGAGTCTTCTACGTTTTGGCAGAGTATTCCGAAATTTGAGAACAGATAATCGATACGATTAATAATAATAAGGCGCTGTTCCATATCGTTCGCCGTTTCTTGACCCCGGCCGACTATACCATTGCCGGGGAATACTACCCATTTAAAAATTTTAAATTTATGTTTTAGGCAAAATAGTAATAATGTGCCAGACAACCACACCAATGACCTGGTATGAAAACAGGAAATTCCCTATACTGTGAATACCAGAATAATGAACTCCTACCTACACTTTTCAAAAGATAATCAATTTAGGAAAGTACCGGTCGCGGTCTCAACAGTTGATTTCGGAAACTCGGAAGTTATTTAAAAAGTTAGGTCACGGACTCAAGGTCTCAAGGGCTAAGATCCCCACACTGGGTCATGGCTGGTTCAACAGGTGAACATTGATATCCAGTACACCAATGCTGCCAGGGTAACGGGAACTTAAGCTAGATAAAAAAACACGATACTGGGCGTATCTTTTCGACGAAATCAGTTGTAAATCCCAATTTTTGTTGTTTGGAAATATTGACAAAAGCCTAGCGCTGATCTTCAGGTTGTGAATTTATGATTTTTTTGAAGTTTATATCCCAAGAAATGAAACTATTTTTTTCGGAATTTGTTTTTCAAACAAACCAATGTTTCGGGCCCTTTACAGGTACCATAATCACAAGTGACTGTAAAGGGTCAAAAAACGTTGATTTGTTTGACAAAACAATACAGGATTTAGATCCGAAAAATGTGTAACAATCGCGAAAACCTAAGAATTAGGTTTTATCAGATTGGGGCTATCGGGGATTGAAAGCATGCAGAGTGCTTGTTGAGTGTTAATACCACTTGCCTGTTCTCAAACTAGGATAATCATCTAGACATACCACCAAACGCATTATTCATCTGACGTAGTATCTAAATGTAGTAATTTAGACAGGTCGCGCGGTGAAAATTAATTAGTATTAATTTTCACCAAATTTCATATTTTACTTGTTCTTGACGTTAACCAGATATGGGACCCACTGGTGGGAACATCTGCCTCGCCATACGGCAATATAGTTCTTTAACAAAAGATAAAAATTATTTTAAAAACATGTAAAAAAAAAAAGGTATTACACTAAGTAGTCAGTAACATGGCGTTTTGACAAAATTTTACTGAAGACAATTAGTCGAAAACTGAAAAAAGCACAATAGATATGATTATTTTAACTTTGTACTGTCGAGTTATTATGTTACAAAGTTGTTTAATGATTGTTTCCTGTTCAAGCGTTCATACTGAATGAACCTCTGAGACGACACATCAATCGATTTCATTCCACATTCCAATTGATTTACTTTCTCGATTATAGAACTCTACATTTTGTTAAGGAGGTTAGAGGTCAACAGATCAAAACTGCTTGTTGTACAACTTATTCTCAAGCATTACTGTTCTGTGTTTGCTATTATAGTTTTTAAAGTGCAATACAAATTCAATTCAAAGTTACCAGTTATTTATTTTAAGTTGTATGGTTTTAACGGGAATTAAAGCCGATTAATGGGTTGTCTAAAGGCTGCCGAGTGCAAACTTACTATGGCGAGATATATATGACAGGGTTAAAGGTATAAAACGGTTATTGAGCTAACAAACTGTTTACACTACCACATTATATTTAAGTTACATTATCCATTGTGCATTAATAGTAGACATGGTAAAATTTGATTTACATTTTACATAAAAAGCATTTATTGTTAAATCTAAGACTACTTGTTAGGTTTACTGTATAGACCAACTGTGTCGACCAAAATTATACAAGTGTAGACGCAACATTTAATGCATAATAACTCTTGTAACTTAAAGACAAAGTGCAAGTGTACCGAACAAAAGAGCACTTTAGTGGTTCTTTGATTGTTTACCTTCCCAATATGAAGTCACACTGACAATACTACAAGTAATGTCAATTTAGTCAAGAACTATGACGTTGGTACAGTAACTAAATGTAGTCACAGGAGTCATAGCTCAATTTAAAATGATCTTAACATGGCAAATACAAAAAGAACTCGCAAGTATGTTTACTGTAGGCTATTCTGCTCTTGGTTACGAGGGCAGTATTTACGTGTTACCTTTAACTGGCGGTTAACATGCTAAACAAAACTGATGAAAAGGTAATCTTAATTAAAAAAAATATAATAGCAGTAACGACATATTGTAGTTAACTGCAGTTTTTTTAAATAAAATGCTGTCAATAATGTGAGCTAGTAAAAATAAGGTAAAAATGGGGGGTTAAACGTAGGTAGACCAATGCTCATGTGTAGATTTTATGGTCCGTTTTTACCTATTCTTTACCTTGATTTTTTTTCTTCAATTCTCATTATTTAATAAGGTTATTTCTGAACATCATTACGAATTACATTGTTGGAAGTTTCTTAAATAATTCCGAGTACAACCTATTCCTGTATTTTAAATACATGATTAAAAGCACATAATACCAAGTACCAACGCCATAGTAAAAGAAAAATACATATAGTTCTAGACATCAAACTATTTAAAGGCAAGTCGCAAGTCGGTCTAATTTAAAAAAATAGACTCTTGCATCTATCCATTCATATTTGACACTGGCCGGTATTTATAAGCAATAATATGTTTTGTTAATTTTAGTAAACACTGTTATTGACGACGAAACCTTCACTTTAATCACACAGGTATCGTATCAGCTTGAGTACGCACATCCCTGGCATGGACTCAAATTGATACGCGATCATGTGATACGCGGTTGCTGGGTTGAATGCGAAATGATACGTGATGCGATATACGCGTCGCGATACGCGATCGCTAGTTTGCATGCGAAATGATATGCGACCACGTGCACACAAACTAGCGATGGTGGAACGTGTCATAGACATGATACGCCATAATCATATATTAAACCTGGCATACAAGAAAAAAAAGCAGGAAAAAATTAACGGATAAAATTACGCTCTGCATTATAACTTCAAATGCGTATTCTGTAAAATTAAAAGTCAAAAGCTGTTTCAAGAGGGTAAGGACCGCTCTTAGAGGAGACACGTGTGCAGTACTGGTGCGTTAAATGGGTTATAATGGACAATTTAGTACACAACTAAATTACAATTTCCATTCGTTAGGAAGCTTCAGCACGGCGGACACAATAAAATGACTTCAGACACAATAAAATGGGTTGTGTTATAGAACCCTATCAGATTTTGTATTAAAAAGCTATTAGGCTTTTATTCGAAATCTGATTTCAACTTGGTAGTGGATAGTGCTGTTCATCAATTCTACTAAAATTTGCTGATTTACCTTTAGAGAGTGCACCTCTAAATAAAAAAGTTTCACATGTTTCCTGAAAATAGTTCTAATTGGATAGCTGCTGATTCTAAAGTGTTTCGGGCTGAAAATTTGCAAAATACCTGTTATTGACCGATGTGTTATTTGCCAAGTCCCATCACTATGATATTTTCATTCCATGATGAAAGACGTTTAAATGAATACTAAAATTAACCAAACAAATTGCACCACATTCATAGTACAAGTACAGGTACATCTCACGTCATTTTTAATCTACAAAATTAACGCGCATTGAAATATTCAAGCCACGGTTAGTATCATTTTCGCGTATCAGATCTCCGAACGTCACAGGCGCGTATCACAACATCACCTGTTTCGTCACGAAATGATACGCGATATAAACGTGGCATAGGAAATTATTTCTTTACAATAGGATTATATTTGACGTTAGTGTCCCGTACAATTCAACAAATCAATCTCACAATAACCATACAGTGCATCTACGCGACTGAACGTAATAATTTTAAAAAAATGTACTCATTTGTCATAAGAATTACGTAAGAACATACCTTGTGACCACAGCTTGACTCTCTGAGATTGAAGTACAAAAATCTATATATCTAAGACTTGTTTACAGTCTGACATTAATATCTAGCAATTAATTGTATTCTGCGTCGCAATAACTTATTTGAAGTCGAAATAGTTCAAAGATGTATACGCAAAACCATGTAAATGCCATGCAACAATGTCGCAATGTAAACACCTCTTCCACGATGTTCTAGTACCATCATTCATTTAAAGTTCGTTATCGGCCATCTGTTAACTCAGTACTCAATTTTTATCACAATATTAGTTCAAATCCGTCCTGTCATGGCCATGGCACAACCCGCTTGGTTTGGTTAAAAATATCTACACTTGATACACAGACACTATGTTCTTAAAGTCACTATAAGAGCTTCAGCGTAACCCCGTAGGGGATGAGAAGATACTCTTGGGGAAAGCGGGGGGGTAAAACAGGTCACCGTTTCCACGTGCCACCATCACAAGTATGTGGATTCACCTGCAAATGTAAGAAACCCAATGTGAGCATCGAAAGTATTACAATGCCACCAACAGATTTTATTGTTTTGATTGAATTTTTTAGGCCACATATAAATACAACTCGAAAAAA